ACCTCTATAAATTGAAATAAAACCTACCTAACTCGAATTATTTGTCAGGCATTTAGATATATATTTTACCTCTGTAACTCGAATTTAAAGTAGCCAGACTTCTACAAGTCGAAGTTTACCTCTATAAGTCGAACTTCCATTGTCGCTATCTCTGTAATTCGAAGTTGTAGCTATGTGTAACCGTGAGTAATAGCCTGGTATTTTATTTTAGAGTCACATTTATCATATGTATGTCAATAAATAAATCACTATTAAATATTGATTTTTTTTCTCTAAATGCCATTATAATCGGAAAATTATAAATTCTTGTACAAAGCCTCCGTAAGTCGAATTTTCATATGTTAACCCTCTTTTAGTTGAATTTCGATCAAAACTCTATAACTCAAAGGGTTTTTCTGTTCCCTTGAAATTCGAGTTATCGAGGTTCGACTGTAATCGACTAGTAAAATATCACGAGATATATATATAACAAATAAAATAAATAATTTTATGTAGTAAAGCAACTGCAATTATAGTAAGTATTACTATTTTTTAACATTTGCTTACTATCTTATATTGTAATAATAATTAATAAAAAATAAATAAACAAAAATATCTATAATAATATCAAATATAATGTATAACCATAATGCATTGTTAAAGTAGCTGTAATTTGCATGGTTAATTAATTATAATTTTATAGTTGTCCCCGAAATTTGCTATAAATTATAGTTAAATTATGGTTATTCCAACTATATTTTTCTCTCGGTGTAAAAATTAATACACACAACCCCCGTGTCAGCTCGTTAAGCATTACTTTATCAATATATTTGATTTATTCTTACGAGTCTAATTCCTTCAATTTATTTGAATGTACGCTGCCTGAAAGACGTGTTACATTATTTATAGTTTATATATATCAGTTATTGCAAGAAATACCATCACATGCCTCGGTGATCAAATGGTTAGGCCATCCGTCCTTCAAGCGAGGAGATCCGGTTTTGATTCTCGCTGAGGTGTTATTTTTGCAATAATTTCTTTACAGATTTGAGGAAAGAGAATTCTTATATTTAAGATACATCACATACATCCTTAATTAGTTACAAATAGATTCCGGCTTCATGTAAGAACTGTATTTCAAGACCGACAAATATGCAGCGCGCAATTTGTATGTGGTTGAATATTGTACGAGTAACAATAAAAATTAATATATACCAACACCCGTTCCGGCTTGATAGACATTACTTCAATATATTTGATTTATTTTTACAAACCTAATTCCTTCAATTTATTGAAAAAATATATAATTTTTGCTGCTATAATGCATTTAGAAATAAAGAAGACTTACAAAAATAATTAAAATAAAGAGTGACCCAAAAAATCGCCCGATTTTTGAGTCCTCGATTTTGGAACTAAACTATGTGTCAAATGGTATCTTATAATGAGACATTAACCATAGAGAAATTTCAAGTTGAGGTGATATTTGTTATCAGAATTGGAGGAGGAGAATCAAAATTTATTATCGAATTTTAAAAGAGCTCCAAAAAACTGGCACTCGACTTTGGAACTGAACTGTATGCCAAATGGTACTTTATAATAAAACGTTAATCACCAAGAAGTTTCAATTTGAAGTGACAATTGTTATTAGAGCTGGAGGAAGGGAAGGAATCAAAGTTAAGCCGAGTTCTTTTGAATCTTACTGAGCAGTACTGTACTACTAAGGAATCAACGCCCATTTGTGTGGTAAACGTACTTCTGCAGAATTTTACGAATGACGCTCATTTTGAATATAAAAAATCGGATTTTCGCGTAAAGAGACATAATATACATATTACGTGATCCTATCCCTCCAGCTATAAATTTGTCACCTCAATCTAAAACTTTTCTGTAATTAATAACTCATTATAGAGTATTATTTGGCACACAGTTTAGTCTCAAAATCGAGAGCCCAAAAAACGGGCGAAAAAAATCCTTCTTTTTTGGGTTACTCTTTAGTTGATGTATTTTCCGCAATAAGTTCTTTATAATATTTTAAGATACTTATTAGCATCATTATCAAATAAAAAATTAATTTAATAAATATGTAATATTATATCAGCTTTAAAATTATGTCTGTGTTCTTAAAGACCGATAACAATCGGCGTGCAGCTTATAATAGATGCAATTTAAAAGATTTAAAAATTAAGAATAATATTAGACAATTAATATCTAGCAGTGGCTATTTTTGGCTCTTTTTCCTTTTATTATTTATTGTGTATATATATATATATATATATATATATATATATATATAGGCTTTATGTGAAATTATTAATAAAATAAATTTCTTTAGCTTTTAAAGCTTTTTTTGACTGTACAATACATTTGATCATAATTTTTTGTCACGTTTTTTTCATAATTTTTTATTCCAATAGATGGATATTTTTTTAATACAAACACGTAATGAATAGTTACATATGTTATTAATCAATATAGATACTCATATATAGAACATGAAATACCTAATCACAGATCTGTATCCACAATATCTTTATAAAATTTTTTTTAAATGATTAACTACTTATAATTATTTTCTTTAATTATACAAACGATCAAAAAGTTTTTTCATACATAGATCATGAAATATCTAATCACAGATCTGTATCCACAATATCTTTATTAAATTTTTTTTAAATGATTAGCTACTTATAATTATTTTCTTTAATTATACAAACGATCAAAAAGTTTTTTTCGCAACGATGATTGTTTCGAAATTTCACAATTAAACTTCTTTTCATCGGTTCTTAAATTATATCTTTTATGGTAATATACAATTGTAAATGTGACAAGTACGTATATATTGCATGTCAAAGTAGTTTCTATTAATAAAGCTCTCTCTTCCGCGTGTTACATAATTTCAATTATAAAATTGAATGTTAAATGTGCACAGTTGTGCACATAAAGATGTTGCAGGTAGGTATGGCAGCTTTCTATTATTATATACATACATATGTTTATTAAGACTTTTCAATAATACGTTTCTCAAGAATATTTGTTTCTTTTTTAATATATATTCTATTGCCATTTATTCCGAAAATACCAAATTTAATTTTGAACCGTATCCGTTTATTGTAAATTTTATAATTATGATATTAATGTTGTAATATTTGGAAATTTCTTATAACATATCGTTGTTTATATAAAATACTGTACAATAATGTCAAATCAATATTGTTTTATTAATTAAAATTTGAAAAAGATATGTTGCTTTATCGTTACATGATTTCTTTATTAGCAATATATTGGAAAAATGACAATTCGGATGTTGCTAACATTTAGAGTAAAATTTTAGAATAAAATATATTCTAAGATATTCTGTACTAAGAATATGATTAATATAGTTATTATATCTTAGTGTCGCGTTTATTTGCAAAAAAACAAAGTAATAATAAAATAGTAATTAAAATAAATTATTAAACAGACTAACATTTCATTTTTTAATAAATAATACTGAAAGAAACAATAATACCGATAACGTTTCTTTGATATTCAAGTATAATGAGATAATAATGTTTTTTATCGAAAACAATCGAGAAAGAAGGCAATACTCGTGCAAGTTGTGAATGAACCAAAATGCTAATGTATTATACAAATAGCACTAACTGGTATCGCGCTGTATATAAATTGTAACTGCGTTTTGTCGGGCTCGTTAGTAGTGAAGAAATCGAGGAAGACATCGATAAAATCGCGCAATCGATAGTTTAAAAATATCAAATTGAAAGAAATGGCAGGAATTAGCTATCTCCTGTGTCTTCTAATCGCGGTGTTTACTATCGTAACCGCGGATTATTGCAACATGCAATCATGTAGTGAAAAGGGCAGTCATACTATGTGCCAATATTCCGTAAGTAGTAATTAGCCGTATATGTACACACCGAAAATAGTACAAAAATAGAGTCTATATTCTTACAATGAATTTTTACAATAAACAATAATGAACAAATCAAATAATATCTTACAGGCAAATTACTTCAAATTATATCTTAATAAGCATAAATTATATTAATTTTGAAAGACTTGGTTTTCAAAACCAATAATTTGTAGGCAATTTAAAATATAAAATAGAATCAATTTGTTTGTACCTACATAATATGCTTTCAAAGAAATCGGTAATGTTGCACATGAAATATGTCGTAATTAGGACGATATTCACAATTATTATATGTACATGTATAATAAAATGAAATAATATTACCTTAATTTTGTAAGTGTCATATCTACCATACTTAAGATGAGATTAAATACATATATTCTATCAATTATTTATATGCCAGTATATACCAGTATATTGATATATATTTATATATGTTCTAAATTATTGATATGATCTGTAACATATACGAATTTTTTACGAATACTTATAAACATCCATAAAATAAAAATCAAGCAAAGAAATTACATGCATAAAAATTGCATAAAAATGTTAATGATAATAATAATAAAAATTAGTGAGAGATAACAAGAGATAACATTAAAATAACATCTTTTAGTGATAATCGATAATATTATTGAATCCTTTAATTAGCTAATTCTAAAAATCATTCCGTAGTCAAGACCAGCTGCAGCATGCGGAGACTCATATAGTATTGGCCTTAGTGATGCTGAAAAACGGACAATAGTAAATAAACACAACGAATTGAGACGAAAAGTCGCATCAGGCCAAGAAACTAGAGGAAAACCTGGTCCACAACCTGCGGCAGTTAGCATGCCAGACTTGGTAAGCCATAATAAATTATATATTGTTACAGTAAATTTAAATGTATAATAAATAAAAAATATTAAATAAATACATACATTTTAATTTACTTCAAACAATTAAATTCTTTTGAAAGAAGTATAGAATGGTGATTCAACTACAATAGCTTAATTTAGCTTAAAGATTTGATTATTTATTTTACCACATCTTTTATATAAATTAAAAATTGATATAACACTAATGTTAATATTGACCAATATTAATTTAATTAATTTTAATTCTGCAAAGCGTTTGAATAACTATCTTATCTATATGCTGTTTATCTATACATCTAAGTGCATAAAGGTACTAGATTTCTATTTCGACTTAGTATCTCAATAACTATTGCAATGATTGCAAAATGGACAAAGGACTTTTCGATTCAATTTAGCCAAGTCTACTTGTCCACGAGCGAATTACCATTGAGTATCGGACATCCTGTATATATAATACATATTATACATATTACATGTATATACAGAGACTGCCAAAAGTTCGAAGCCACCCAAATAATTTCTGAATGGTTTGAGATATTGGATTGAAATTTATAGAGGTACAACGGCAAAATGTAATTGACCATTTAACTTTAAAAGCACTCACTTCAACTCTTCGAGGGGGGCGGGGGGAGAAGAGTAAAAAATCTTAAATGTGACATACATGTGAGGTCGAGTGGAGACTTGTTTGAAAAGGCTTTTCGAGACGAGAAGAACGCAATGTTGAGGTCTCTACGATTTTTTTGCAGAGTTGTGCTCATTTGAATATTGATGTTTCTTGGCACTAAACGAAGTCCACGGCGAGGACGTAAGGAAGATAAAGCTTCGCGCATGTTCTTCACACACACACACACACACACGCGCTCTTTCACATACTTTTCCATCCACTCACGACATGCGCGAAACTTTATCTTCCTCACATCCTCGTTGCGGACCTCGTTTAGAGCCAAGAAACATCAATATTCAAATGAGCACAACTCTGCAACAAAATTGTAGAGACTTTAACGACATCGCGTTCTTCTCGTTTCGAAAAGCTCTTTCAACCGAGCCTTCACTCGACCTCACATGCTATTTAAGATTTTCAACGCTTCCCCCCCTCTGCCCCTCTTGGAAGATTGAAGTATTTTCAAGGTTAAATGATAGATTCCATTTTGCTATTGTAACCCTATAAATTTTAATCCAATATCTCGAATCGTTCAGAAATTATTTAGGTGGCCCCGAACTTTTGGCAGTTCCTGTATAATACATATACTATAATTAAAATATTCATTTATTTTAAATAAAAATTTATACAATATAAACTGTATTTAAAATGCGCTTATTAACGATATAAGCGCGATAATAAGTCTGATTCTATAGTGCACTATATGGGCTGAAAAGTTTCCGGAATTAGATACAAAATGGCATATACAAAAATTAATCTTAAGGCTGTCAAATATATTCCTTCAAACCTCCACTGTCAAAATTTCATGACATTTCACCGAATAGTTTGTGAGTTCAATCATTTGAACAAGTCAACTTTTGAGTT